GTCTCAGCCATGATTTACAACACAAACTGATTGGTCTCAGCCATGCTTTACACCACACACTGATTGGTCTCAGCCATGATTTACACCACAAACTGACTGGTCTCAGCCATGATTTACACCACAAACTGATTCGTCTCAGCCAAGCTTTACACCAAACATTGATTGGTCTTATTTATGCTTTATATCACACACTGATTGGCCTCAACCATGCTTTACACCACAAACTGACTGGTCTCTGTCTGGCTTTACACCACACACTGATTGGTCTCAGTCAGGCTTTACACCACACACTGATTGGTCTCAGCCATGATTTACAACACAAACTGATTGGTCTCAGCCATGCTTTACACCACACACTGATTGGTCTCAGCCATGATTTACAACACAAACTGATTGGTCTCAGCCATGCTTTACACCACACATTGATTGGTCTCAGCCATGATTTACACCACAAACTGACTGGTCTCAGCCATGATTTACACCACAAACTGATTCGTCTCAGCCAAGCTTTACACCAAACACTGATTGGTCTTATTTATGCTTTATTTCACACACTGATTAGTCTCAACCATGCTTTACACCACAAACTGACTGGTCTCCGTCTGGCTTTACACCACACACTGATTGATTGGTCTTAGCATATTTCACACCGCAAACTGATTTGACTCTGTCATGCTTTACACCACACACTAATTTGTCTCAGCCATGCTTTACACCACACACTGATTGGTCTCAGCCATGATTTACAACACAAACTGATTGGTCTTATTTATGCTTTACACCACACACTGATTGGTCTCAGCCATACTTTACACAACACACTGATTGGTCCCAGCCATGCTTTACACCATACACTGATTGATTTGTCTAAGCTATGCTTTACGCCACGCACTGATTTGTCTCACCTATGCTTTGCACCACACACTGATTGGTCCCATCCATGCTTTACACCATACACTGACTGATTTGTCTAAGCTATGCTTTACACCACACACTGATTGGTCTCACCTATGCTTTGCACCACACACTGATTGGTCTCAGCCATGCTTTACACCACACACTGATTGGTCTCAGCCATGCTTTACACCACACACTGATTGGTCTCAGCCATACTTTACACAACACACTGATTGGTCCCAGCCATGCTTTACACCATACACTGATTGATTTGTCTAAGCTATGCTTTGCACCACACACTGATTGGTCTCACCTATGCTTTGCACCACACACTGATTGGTCTCAGCCATGCTTTACACAACACACTGATTGGTCTCAGCCCTGCTTTACACCACACACTGATTGGTCTCAGCCATTCTTTACACCACACACTGATTGGTCTCAGCCATGCTTTACACCACACACTGATTGATCTCAGACATGCTTTACACCACACACTGATTGGTCTCAGCCAAGCCATACACCACACACTGATTGATTTCAGGCTTTACGTTTTATCACCACTGCTATTTATCACCAAATTTGCAAGTCAGCTAGCACTGTTGAAAGGAATAACATCAGAATTTGCTACATGAATTGCATTTCGCAGATGACCAGGCAATCGTAGAACCAACAGCAGTACAGCTACGAGGACATGATAATACACTCCACTCAGTGACAACTGTGATCAACGTAAACAAAACAGATATGACAGCATTCTACAAAAAAGACACACACAAAACCAACAATTTCAAAATCGCACACAAGTTAAAACAAGCGAAGGACTTCACATATCTGGGGAGCGTTTTCGAAAAGACGAGTAAAATAATAAACAAATCCAACAAAGATGCAATAAAGCCAGTCAAGCTAAAGACCACATAGCGTCAATTTTGAAAATGCAAGCCTGTGAATATAAACACTGGTCAAGAAAATATTCTTACCAACACTATAAATGTCAAACATGGACACGGTATTCAGAAGGCAGAAGGAAAATCTTCACGACAGAAATGAAATGTTTACGTACTGGGTTAATTGTAACAAGGAAATATCGAATTAGGAACGACGATATCAGGAGAATTTTCATACAACCAATATTGAACTTTAGTGGTAGACAAAAGTGCAAGTGGTTTTGTCACGTGACAATAGTGACATCAGAGAGGGCACAACTGAGAGCATTGTTATGCCCATATAAGGGTAACAGACCCACCGGTGACCAGGCAGAAGATGGATTGCAGAAACATCAGACACTGAAAAGTACTTTATGTGAATCGAACAGAAAGGCCTGTTGCAGAGATGTGGTGGTTCCCTGACGCTGTGAGGCATTCCAGGAGTAGACGAAAGAAGACGATGGACATCGAAGACCCTCTGGGTGTCTGGACTGGGGCGGAGGATACCAAAGTGGCGACGGGATAATTTGGCAACACCCATGTTGTTAACATAGAAAGTAAAAAATCAATTTGGGTCTATTACTGGTGGAGCTGCCTCATCAGCTAGTAATAGACCAACACAGACAAACATATGACAGACAAACATACGTGCAGGGCAAACACATGACAGACAAACATGACAAACAAACATATGGCAGACAAACATATGTGCAGCACAAACATATGACAGATAAACATACGTGCAGAACAAGCATATGACAGACAAGCATAGGTGCAGGGCAAACATATGACAGACAAACATATGTGCAGCACAAACATATGACAGACAAACATACGTGCAGGACAAACATACGTACTGGACAAACCGTTTCAGTCGTGTCGATGAGCATAAAATAAGAGCAAGTGCTCCACTTAAAACATCGTGTCCCGTTTAAACGAAACAATCTAAATTGAAGAGTGCACCTTGCTCGTCGCTCTTGGAAAAATGTATAAAAATAAAACACTTAACATGAGTATCAAAGTCAGTCAACGGTTCATTAGAGAGAGACGTGGGTGTGTCTGCGTTTGTGTTCGGAAATCTTTTGTGGGGAATGTTTACAGATTCATCAGTAGATATGTAGTTATGTTGATATGTTTAATGTTTTTTCAAACTAGTAAACGTGTAATTTAAATGCTCTGTAAAAGTTAAGTCATGGGAGGTTATGCTAAGTTAAAGCTTGAGAATTGTTTAAGAAATAAAGTTAGATCAATCAGTCAACTGATAGTAGTTGCAACTTCCCGCTGAGCCCGTCGCTCAATAACTGTTCTGTTCTTGTGCCATTGAAAATCACATACACTATTATTGACTGTCCTGTTTGAAACAACCAAGGAAACAGATCTGGCTGGGAAATTTCCAGAAGCACGGGCAGACAGTAACTGCAGACAGCAAATGTCAACATTAACCAGCACGCCCCTAGAACTGCAGTTCCTCGCTGAGTGAAGCCAGTTGACAGCTGCCCCAGCAAAAACTGCATTAGGCATACTTGTAAAACGTGTTGGGCCCATTCGAGTCATTGACAAGTCGGGAATATGGCACTAGAACCCAATGTTTATACACCAGTTGGCACTAGAACCCAATGTTTATACACCAGTTGGCACTAGAACCCAATGCTCACACACCAGTTGGCACTAGAACCCAATGTTAATTCACCAGTTGGCACTAGAACCCAATGTTCACACACCAGTTGGCACTAGAACCCAATGTTAATTCACCAGTTGGCACTAGAACCCAATGTTAATTCACCAGTTGGCTCTAGAACCCAATGTTAATTCACCAGTTGGCACTAGAACCCAATGTTTATACACCAGTTGGCACTTGACTTGTAAGTCGGTTCCCTTTACTTCCCTCGACACGTTCCTAGGCTCGATCCGCATGGGGGTCAAAGATCAGGTATTGGAGTTCGCGTGGATTCAAATTCCGAAGGAGGAAAAAAAATGTGCGTCATCTAAGATGGGATTATTTTGTATTTTCACTTGAAAATTGAACGGAAGTCTATTATCTGTTGACTGTCTAGCATATCAAGTTCAGAGTTCAGGGAAACACTGTTCTGTGTTGGCGGTCATTTGAGTTAGCTTAGAGCGGTGATGAAGGCTTTGATATGCTGACCATCTCGTACGTTAGGGAAGCATGTGATGAAGGCTTTGATATGCTGACCATCTAGTATGTTAGGGAAGCATGTGATGAAGGCTTTGATATGCTGACCATTTAGTATGTTAGGGAAGCGGTACAGGACACTCAAAATTCACAGATGTTCTCCTTCCAAAGCCTACTCCTAATAAGAAACAAATACTTTATAGTAGTGCTGTGGTCTTTAACTCTGTCGGTACTGAAGGTTTCTCCATAGGTCTATTTGTTATTCACTAGTTAGTATATCGTTTTTGTTGTTCTACATAGGTCTGTTTGTCATTCACTAGTTAGTATATCGTTTTTGTTGTTCTACATGGGTCTGTTTGTCATTCACTAGTTAGTATATCGTTTTTGTTGTTCTCCATAGGTCTTTTGGTCATTCACTAGTTAGTATATCGTTTTTGCTGCATTCTTTCACGTGAAAATATTACATTAATCCTTTCTGTTCTAATCATCAGTGTCTCTAGTTCTGTCCCAATCTGTCTTTGTTGAAATAAGCCATGTATTTGTTGCTTTTAAATACAGCTCCAGCATATAGTATCGGACAACGCAACAACTGCCTCAGACCAAAATACTGAAACGCAAAACTGAGAAACACGCATAAGGATAAGTGGGTACACAAAAAATATAGTATGTCTCTGGGCCATCAGAAAGATAGTGCTGGTGTTAATAGTGTTATAGATCTATCGACACTATGAATGGTAATACTGTCAAAATTACGCTGGCCACCTTTACTTCCCAGTACATAACCTAATACACAGTTCACGCTGGGTCTACCAAGAAGCCGGGATTAGTTGTAAAACAAATATCGGCTCGTTGCGGATTTGAACCTTCCATATTCGGGCCTGCGCTAGCTCCTACCCCACCACAGATCCCTGATGATCTCTGTATATGGATAATATGCGATCACGCATGATACATTGTTTATAACGGAAGGAAAACTTCTGCAATAAAATCTGCTGAATTGTGTGGCCAACGTGTTAACTGTTGATTCAAAGACTTGAAGAAAGATGTGGGTGTTTGCTTCCATTGTACTGATGGGCACATGTTTTCTGTCGAACGGCCGAGGATTTGAAGTCAGCTCGACTAGAAGCAAAAGACTCAGCTACCAAGACACATCTGGTGTCCTCGACGATTTCTTTCAGAATGAGGGGTCGGGGGAACGAGGCCGTGGCATCACAGAGGTCTTCACATTCACCAGTAGTCAGTCTCTCTCAGATGATGTAGCAGAGAATCCAGGTTCATCACCACAGGGAGAAAATGGCCAGGAGATACCCTTCAAAAGTGAACCAGATAAGGTTACAATTAAGGTATGTTATGTGTATGTGTGTTTGTGCCTTGTTTACGTGTTCTCTGAAAAGATTATGCTTGTATGTGTGTCTTTGTTTGTACGTGCGTGTGTGTGTATGTGTGTGATCGAGTTTGATTGTAACTGTCCCAAACCGTGTTACCCTTCTGGTGCTGTACGTGCGTGTGTGTGTATGTGTGTGATGGAGTTTGATTGTAACTGTTCCAAACCGTGTCACCCTTCTGGTGCTGTACGTGCGTGTGTGTGTATGTGTGTGATGGAGTTTGATTGTAACTGTTCCAAACCGTGTCACCCTTCTGGTGCTGTACGTGCGTGTGTGTGTATGTGTGTGATGGAGTTTGATTGTAACTGTTCCAAACCGTGTCACCCTTCTGGTGCTGTACATGTGATGTGTATGACCCCTCCGATGTAACATATGTTATAATCATAGAAACTTTCTGTACTTTGTTGAATGTTAGCCTCACGCTCTCAAGTTCCTGGGTTCGTTTCACCACGGCGCCTTTCAGTTAAGGATTGCAATTTTTATGGAGATCCCTGTGGATCGTGGCCGGAGCTACGTAGGTAGTGCTCTCGGCAGGTAGCTGGATGTTCTATGGTGAGAAGCTGAGCTATATGGAATCAAACCCAGTGCCATAAAGTTGATCCTTTCACTTTTACCTGTATTTTTACCTTACATTAAATAATACTAATAATAATCAATAGTCAAAGCCGGGTGGGGGACGACGACGGGTAGTAGCGACTATTGTTATCCCGTGTGGATGTATCACATCTTCTTTGTCCTTAATTCATCTGTTTAGGTGTAGTGTCTTGTTGGTAGTTGTTGCGATGGCATTCTAACGAGAGTATTGAAACAAGTTACAATGGAGATTTTCAGCATGGAAATCATGGCTGTGAATTAGGGAACTCTTATTTATCGTTAAAGAAAAGAAAAAAAAAAAAAAAGAGCTTCTAAAATTAAATGTTAAAGAACAATTACTAGAATGCCATGGAGCACGAAGACCACAAAGAAAGAAAACACTGACATCTTAACTGATGTAAACATGATGGAGAACTTGACTGATCTAAACATGGATGAGAACTGAACTGATCTAAACATGGAGGAGAACTGAACTGATCTAAACATAGAGGAGATCTTAAATGATCTAAACATAGAGGAGATCTTAAATGATCTAAACTTAGAGGAGATCTTAAATGATCTAAACATAGAGGAGATCTTAAATGATCTAAACATGGAGGAGAAATGAACTGATCTAAACATAGAGGAGAACTTAAATGATCTAAACATGGAGGAAAACTGAACTGATCTAAACATGGAGGAGATCTTAAATGATCTAAACAAAGAGGAGATCTTAAATGATCTAAACATAGAGGAGAATTTAACTGATCTAAACATGGAGGAGATCTTAAATGATCTAAACATGGAGGAGAACTTAAATGATCTAAACATAGAGGAGAACTGAACTGATCTAAACATGGAGGAGATCTTAAATGATCTACACATAGAGGAGGTCTTAAATGATCTAAACATAGAGGAGAACTTAACCGATCTAAACATGGAGAAAATCTTAAATGATCTAAACATGGAGGAGAACTTAAATGATCTAAACATGGAGGAGAACTGAACTGATCTAAACATAGAGGAGAACTTAACCGATCTAAACATAGAGGAGAACTTAAATGATCTAAACATAGAGGAGAACTTAACTGATCTAAACATAGAGGAGAACTGAACTGATCTAAACATGGAGGAGATCTTAAATGATCTAAACATATAGGAGAACTTAACCGATCTAAACATAGAGGAGAACTTAAATGATCTAAACATAGAGGAGAACTTAAATGATCTAAACATGGAGGAGATCTTAAATGATCTAAACATAGAGGAGAACTTAAATGATCTAAACATGGAGGAGAACTGAACTGATCTAAACACAGAGGAGAACTGAACTGATCTAAACATGGAGGAGATCTTAAATGATCTAAACATAGAGGAGATCTTAAATGATCTAAACATAGAGGAGAACTTAACCGATCTAAACATGGAGGAAATCTTAAATGATCTAAACATGGAGGAGAACTTAAATGATCTAAACATGGAGGAGAACTGAACGTTTTTATTGTCAACATTAGTATCACAGTGTTTATATGAATATGTCGTTTATCGCCCGTTTCTTGTCGGACATACTTATGTTTGGACGTTCATATCAGGGAATCAGTAGCCCGTTGATATCTTGTTTTTCCCGATCTTTCTAGATGTGTATATTCTTTAACTTACTCCACCAGGGAAGTGCCATTCAAGTCTACAATTTAGCGAACTAGGAATTCTACCTGCCTGAATTATTTTAGGTTTAGTCCTATGTGTTTTCATGTTATATCTTCTGTTATGTTGAACTTAGCCTGTTTACATGGTCCCGTAGCTAGTCCCTCCTCACTGTAGAACAGGCACAGATTGATTATACCAGGACAACGCTACCGCGGGCTGAAATAAACAACCTGGATACACACGTTAGGAACAATTCACCCCTGCTGGATACACACGTTAGGAACAATTCACCCCTGCTGGATACACACGTTATGAACAATTCACCCCTGCTGGATACACACATTATGAACAATTTACCCCTGCTGGATACAAACGTTAGGAACAATTCACCCCTGCTGGATACACACGTTATGAACAATTCCTTGTGCAATTGATTAAAAATAAAAATAATGATGGTAGTAGTAGTAGTAGTAGTAGTAGTAGTAGTAGTAGTAGTAGTAGTAGTAGTAGTAGTAGTAGTAGTAGTAGTAGTAGTAGTAGTAGTAGTAGTAGTAGTAGTAGTAGTAGTAGTAGTAGTAGTAGTAGTAGTAGTAGTAGTAGTAGTAGTAGTAGTAGTATTAATAGTAGTAGTAGTGATAGTGGTGGTGGTGGTGGTGGTGGTGGTAGTGGTAGTGATAGTGGTAGTTGTAGTGGTAGTGGTGGTGGTGGTGGTAGTGGTAGTGGTAGTGATAGTGGTAGCGGTAGTAGTAGCGGTAGTAGTAGCAGTAGTAGCAGCAGTAGTAGCAGCAGTAGTAGCAGCAGTAGTAGCAGCAGTAGTAGCAGCAGTAGTAGCAGCAGTAGGAGCAGTAGTAGCAGCAGTAGTAGCAGCAGTAGCAGCAGCAGCAGCAGTAGAAGAAGCAGTGGTACTAGTACTAGTAGTTATAACAATGTTCTGTTTTTTCATAGGTCGGCATTCTATTCCTCCATTAGTTTTATTCTCCCTATTTTTGTTTTTCTGTGAGTTTATTTAGCAGGATTGTTTTTACAGGCTGGGGAAGCAGAGCCAACATCCAACCCTTGCCAGTTCCTACAGCTGCTGTTTACTGCTGATTAATGTTCTTAACTGGTGGATCTTTGCCATCAAGATATACGGTTTTTCAAAAGTCCCTCTACGGGTAAAATTTGTAACAGCGTAACTCTCATGACGCGGTACGCAATTATTTTAAAACTTTCCGGCTGAAACAATTAGTGTTTTTGAATAATTACGAGCCGCGTCCTGAAAACGCCATGAGAGTTGTGTGGTTACAAACATTCGGTAACTGTGGAGCTACTTATGGAACACCTAGTATAAACAGTTTGATTATTTCCTCATTTGAGGCACGTACAACATTCACAGATTGGGGGTCAATCACAGACAGGAAAACCAGATAGCGAGGTTAAGACCCAGGCCAGCAAATCTGCGATTACTGACATCAGTAAAAAAGAATTTCGAGACAGCCCAGATACTCAGTCGAGAACTAACCCAGCCTTGATAGAGATTGGCAAGGAGCCTCGTTATGGAGCCCGGAAGTCATCAAACAGGCAAGTCAATTTATCGCGACCGTTAATAATCATCCATGGAAAGCTTTCGTAATAATACCTTGATGTTTCATTCTGGCATAAACTTCGCGATATATCCTTCCAAATAACTTACAGGGCTCGAATTAAATAAGTCTAGGGGAATTATAACGGTCCCTGAGTTCTGGAAAATAGAGGAAGGAGAATACAGAAAGTTAAAGAATAGGGTGAATCCCCGGAAATTTCCTAAAGAAATTCAGAAAATAACCAAAGTCAAAACTTTGTAAATTTAACTCAAATAAATTGCAATGAACAATCTTGAGTCTACCTAAGAAGTAAATTTGATACGATGAAATCGATAAATGGATTTTCTAAACAACAACTGTATTGATAAAATACTGATAAGGAATTCAACGATTTTCAAATTAACACAGAGAAAATAAATAAATGTATCATCATGACACCACATTAATTTATACAAATATTCAATAACACTCAGCTTTACGATATACGGGATGTGTCCAACTGCAGCTTCTCTGGGAGGAATGTACAAGATTCTGGCTGCGACTGTTATAGTCCTCGCCTAACTGCGACATTCATCTGTGAAATCTCGGTTGTTCATTCTATACCGTCTGGTTCCCAATTCACAAGGTAACAGGAATGGCAGCTCACGATCCACAGGTAACAGGGATGGTGGTTCACAATCCACAGGTAACAGTAACACAATCCACAGGTAACAGTGATGGTGGTTCACAATCCACAGGTAACAGTGATGGTGGTTCACAATCCACAGGTAACAGGCATACAGGAAACGGGAATACGGGATTATGGTCCTCTGGTAAACAGGCAGACTGGAATACGGGAACACGGGAACCTCTGGTAAACAGCAGGCAGGACTACGGTAACACGGGAACCTGCGGAATACATCATTCAGCCCTGTGTTGAGCATTATGTCGACACATCTGGAGCAGGTGGAGGTGTTGCGGTGTCTGTGGTGTTTTTCAGAGTAGTAAGCAAGAAAGAACAAGGTTCATATGTTGTCTTTCCCTACAAGTAAATCAAAATTATACATCTCCACCCTATTATAATATGTTGGTTTATACCTATCTAAATTATGGCACGATCATATAAAACTTGACATAATTAAGCGGACACACATTCGCCTGCGGATTGGACAGTTATTAGTTCGAGTCCCAAAACCCAGGTCGACTTCGCCTTAACGGACACCAGGTATAGTAATGGGAAGTAAAGGCGGCAGGTGTGAGGTTGACCACATCAACACCTAGGTACCACTTGGTCTATAAAACATAGGCCAACCCGATATGCCCACAATGCTGACGACGTTTACTCAAATCATGTGTTGCATAATATAATAACATAAACAATGTAATGTATACCCAGCTGATGATACCACATGGCACAGGATAATGGTTTCTACTATAAGATCTTTACGCAAGTAGACCGAATGAATATAAGAGTGACAGAGGGAAGAAGGGTTCGCTATTGAATAGTCCTAACGGGGAATAGTAACTTTAAGAACGTCATAATATGTAAGGACTAGTGAATTGTCCAACGGACAAGTATCAAGGTTGATGAAGTCACGGAATATTTATACAATGGTAGAATATAGAATAGTAGGATCTCAATAAAATATTTTAGGATACAGCTAAGGCTTATAGGGGATCTCAGCTACTCCCTACCATTATAAATCTCACCTGAAATCGTATATGGTATTATTATTGTGGGTGTTAGGCCGATGGTATGGCTGGCAATCGTTCTGTGTTGTGACGAAATTAGATCTCCTAGTAACACCACAAAACGTCATAAATTATGTGCGCCTTCGTACCTTTTTATTCTTTTAGCGTCTATGTTTAAATATATTTATTTTACGTGCGCAATTCTTTTAACTAAAACTTGCAATTAACTCTTGCCGGACTGAAATATTTCTCCCGTTTTGTCACATATGCCCCCGGAAAAGAAAATTTCAGTTACGAAATTTAAATAGAGGAAATTTCAGTTCCCAAAGAGTTAAAAATCAAATTATTATTTTCTTGCAATCTCACACATTTCATCATCCACTGGTATTCTGCTTAAGAAATCTGCACCCACGTTTTCCTTTCCTGGAATATACTGGACAGTAAAGGTATATGGCTGCAATAATAACGACCACCTCATTAACCTAGAATTTAATCGGTTGGAAGCTGCCAAGAATGACAAAGGTTGGTGATCACTTTGTACTACAAACTGAGTTCCATAAAGATATGGTTGAAACTTCTGTATTCCCCAAACTAAACCTAAACATTCTTTTTCTATGGTCGAATAGGCTTGTTCTGCCATATTTAGTTTTCTGCTGGCATATGCAACAGGAAAGAGTTTGCCAGGGTGTTGGTTATTTTCCTGAAGTAATGTAGCTCCTAACCCTATTCCACTCGCGTCAGTTCTTAATGTGAACTTTTTACTGATGTCAGGTAACTGTAAAATAGGTTTATTCGTAAGCCGATCTTTCAACAAACAGTATGCTGTTTCGCATTCTGGTGTCCAGATAATTTTCTCTGGAGCTCCTTTTCTAGTAGCATTAGTTAAAGGACCAGCAATGCTATTAAAATCTTTGATAAATTTTTGATAGTATCCACATAGTGATACAAAAGATCTAACTTCTTTCTTGGTAGTGGGTCTAGGTGCCTTAAGAAGTTTTTCCACATTCTTTTTCTCCGGATACATATATCCGTTCCCAATGGTGTGTCCCAAAAAATCTAGGGTCGGAAAGGCAAGATGACACTTTGAGGGTCTTGCAGTTAAACCGACGTCATTTAAACGTGTGAGAATTTTGTCAAGGGTTTCTACATGCTGATTAAAAGTTTTTGAGGCGATCAAGATATCATCCATGAAATGACAAATGGAGGAATCCTTAAGAGGATCAAGCAGCCTCCTCATCATCCTAGTGAACACTGTAGGAGCATTACAAAGCCCAAATGGAACGACGTTGAACTCGTAATGTCCTTCAGACGTGCTAAAACCCAAATATGGACGTATGTCAGGCCTTACTGGTATTTGATAGTACCCTTTACTAAGGTCCATCTTTGAAAAAAAACTTTGCTCCGCTTAATTTTGCGAACAGTTGTTTCTGATCTGGTAAGGGTTCGGGTTGAAACTCAGTAATCCTGTTAAGTTGCCTGTAGTCAATACACAAGCGATGTTCTCCACTTGGCTTTCGTAACAAGACAACTCCTGCACTATACGGGGATTCCGATGGAGATATAATACCTTCTTTGAGTAAGGTTTGTATCTCTTCCCTCAAAGCCGTTTCCTTTGCAAACGGAATAGTGTAGGGCTTTTGACGAATAGGTTCTGAACTTTTGAGTTTCATATCGTACTCAATCAAATTAGTCAAACCCGGTTTATCCGTCAAAACATTACTGTGTTTGAGTAGAACCCGATTAATAGCTTGTTTTTTGCTCAGGGGTTAAGGAGGGATTTACCACAACATCGTCAATGGATTCTTGTGGTTTTAAGGGGTATTCTGCTCCCATGTTCTCACCTCCCTCTATTTCTGTAGCCACTGACATAGCTAACAAAGTTGCGGGGCACTCGGTGTTCCCCTCAGTATACTTCCTGAGAAGATTTATATGATACACCCGAGTCTTTCCTCTAATAGATATCTTATAATTGGTTCGGGAAACCTTCTCCACTACCGAGTATGGTCCCATCCAACCAATTTCCAACTTATTTCTTCCCTGGGGTAGCAGTAGCAAAACTTTGTCTCCAACGTTCAGAGAACGTTCCTTCGCTCTCTTGTTATAACAGGCAGCCTGTTTTGCTCGGGCCTTTTTCAGATTATTGGCTGCCAATTCCCACCCGAGGTGAAGTTTTTGCTTTAACTCCTCAACGTATTTTGAGGCAGTGACTACAGTTTCATCTACTGAGTCTTGAGTCCATGAATGCAAAAGAGCTTCCAAAGGCCCTTTAATGGGTCGGCCAAACAACAGAGTTGCTGGAGGTAAACCTGTGGAAGAGTGGGGTACCTCTCTGTATGCAAATAAGGCTGCTGGGAGGTACTCATCCCACATATCCGGTTTCGTATTGGCCAACTTCCTCAGAATGGTCATGAGGGTACCGTTAAATTTTTCAACAGTCCCATTAGATTGTGGGTGATATGGACTGGTATGTATATGCTTGGTGTGAAAAATGCGGAAGACTTCTTCCATTACTTTTCCCCGAAACTGGGAGCCGTTGTCCGTCAGGATTTGGTGAGGAAACCCTAAACGTGTAAAAATAGCCACAAGGGCATTAGCCACCTGTTTTGAATCAATACTGGGTAACGGTAGGGCCTCTGACCACATTGTGCAGGTATCCACTAATGTTAGGATACATGCATTCCTCTTCCTCGTCCGAGGCAGAGGTCCAATGATGTCGACCGCTACTCTCTGGAAAGGTTCATGCATAATAGGCATGTTTCCCAGGGTTACCGGCGGGTTTGAGTGTCTAGGAGAAAATCGTTGACACTCTGGACACGAGCGCACATATCTCTTAATGTCCCCCGACATTCCTAGCCAATAATAATGACAGGAAATTCTTTGGGAAGTTGCCGCTATCCCCATATGGCCACTATATGCTAATGTGTGTCCCATATGGAGGATAGTTTTCCGGTAGGGCAAGGGAACAACGAGTTGGCCATACTCTCGTTCTGCTATCCCTGCTCTCCGATACAATAAATTTTTCTTCATATAGAAGTCTCCTCTTTCAGGAGGTTGATGGGCATAAGGCAACTTCCGGAAGCAGGACTTTAATGATGAGTCCTGTTGTTGCGCAGCACTTATGTCCTTTGGTAAAGGATTCTGGGGTTCTGGATCAGATACTGCTGATGCTTTGGTTGATGACCGGGTATCCATGGCCCCAACTAGCATAGGCGTCTTTGGAACTGCAAGATACAAATATTTGCATCCTAGTAAAACGGGAAATATTGGGTTAGGGAGACAACCCGCGACAATAGTTCCTTTTACATATTTGCAGTCAATGTTTACCTTGGCAAGAGGTAATCTTAATGTCTCAGACTCCTGTGCAGCAGTCTGCATCTCTATAAATTCCCCAGTGTACTGCGTTGGGTCAACGAGTTCGGTAGAAACCAAGGCATCGAATAACAGACCCGTATCAAACAGGCAGGTTACTTCTCTGCCGTTCAAAAGAATGGTATCTACAACAGGAGGTCTCTCCCCATCATGAGAGTTCATCCTGGTATTTTCCTGTTTATCATTAGTTAAACAGGCGGCGCAGAGTTGAGGGGGTTTCTTTCGGCAGTCTGCTGTATTATGTGTATTCAGACGACAATACTTACAGTAAAGCCGGCCCCTCCACTCTGACGATTGCTGACCACGACCGTCACCCCTTCGATTATCTTGTGGATGGTACCTATGATTGGTGTTGTTAGTGTTTGGTGTGTTGGACCTACCATTACGAAATTCAGGTTCCCTATGTGTGTTACGTTCTGTTGGCTTTTCGGTAAATTTGGGAGGGGATTTTGAAAGGTGCATCTTTGCCCTGGCGCCCACCTGTTCAGGGTGTGCCAAATCAAATCTCTCAGCCAGCTTTAATATGTCCGCAATTCTTTCCGCACCATTCTCAGTCAGAAAGGTTTGGAGAGGTTTTGACATGGACTCTTTTAGCTGTTCAGCCAATATCATTTCCTCTAGATCTTCATAGGTCTGGGTAAATGATGCTAAGCTCTGCCATTTCAGCAGATAAGATTTAATTCTTGAAAAGAATTGAGAAATGGTTTCTCCCGGCTCTCTTTTAGCATTACGAAATTTGTTACGATATGCAGAGGCCGTCAACTCATATCTCTTCAGCAAAGAATTTTTCAAGAACTCGAAGTTGGTCTCTTGACCAGGAGGCAATCTCGAATAACATTCATAAGAAGGACCTCTTAAAGACAGTGAAAGTTTCAGACACCACTTCTCTTTATCCAACAAATAAGACCTAGCAACGTTTTCGAATTTTTCCAAAAACACATCCATTCTATCCTCGCGTTCATTAAACTGCGGAAAAGGAAAAGACATCGGCCCAAGAAGGTGAGGATGGCCAAAAGAATGTGCCTCAGAGGCAGAAGGTTGCGCATTAACTGCGGTACTAGAGGTAGACTGAGATTGTAAATCAAGCTCTCTGAGACGGAGTTCATGAGCTCTCATCTCTCGTTCTTTCTCAGCAGCTATCTCAGCTAGTCTGATGCGTTCTTGTTCTTGTCTTTCTCTCTCTCTCTTGTTGCAAACGTTCTCAGCTCTTGCGTTCTCTTTCTCCTCTTGTTGCATACTCTTTCTCTCTCTCTCTCGCTCTTTCTCCTCTTGACGCCTTTCACGATCCTCCTGTCTCCATTCTCGTTGTATTTCTTGAAGATATGCTTTTAATTCTTCGCCGGCGTAACCGAGAGTTTTCCCCAGCTCCGCCATCTCCATAAGTGAGGGTCATGTTGCCATTTTACCTGCAGAATATACTTCCAAAGAACACACGCAAACACCAATCAAATTAACACAAGTGTAAAGTTATTATATTATTTTCCCTAAAGTTAATTTTTGCCTAATATTTTTTACCTTTTTTCAATTCTACCAATTTCCTATTAATGACTACTTTTAATGACCTAACTTCTGAAAAATCCCGCGTAAGAGACCCCAATTGTAATCAACTATTGTTGGCGGAATCTATCGTCGCCTGGAGATCCCCTATATCCTTCCAAATAACTTACAGGGCTCGAATTAAATAAGTCTAGGGGAATTATAACGGTCCCTGAGTTCTGGAAAATAGAGGAAGGAGAATACAGAAAGTTAAAGAATAGGGTGAATCCCCGGAAATTTCCTAAAGAAATTCAGAAAACAACCAAAGTCAAAACTTTGTAAATTTAACTCAAATAAATTGCAATGAACAATCTTTAGTCTACCCAAGAAGTTAAATTTGATACGATGAAATCGATAAATGGAATTTCTAAAACCACAACTGTATTGATAAAATATTGATATTGAATTCAACAATTTTCAAATTAACAAACAAAAGAAAATAAATAAATGTATCATCATGACACCACATTAATTTATACAAATATTCAGTAACACTCAGCTTTACGATATACGGGATGTGTCCAACTGCAGCTTCTCTGGGAGGAATGTACAAAGCTTCTGGCTGCGACTGTTATAGTCCTCGCCTAACTGCGACATTCATCCGTGAGATCTCGGTTGTTCATTCTATACCGTCTGGTTCCCAATTCACAAGGTAACAGGAATGGCAGCTCACGATCCACAGGTAACAGGGATGGTGGTTCACAATCCACAGGTAACAGTGATGGTGGTTCACAATCCACAGGTAACAGTGATGGTGGTTCACAATCCACAGGTAACAGTGATGGTGGTTCACAATCCACAGGTAACAGGCATACAGGAAACGGGAATACGGGATTATGGTCCTCTGGTAAACAGGCAGACTTGAATACGGGAGCACGGGATTTTGGTCCTCTGGTAAACAGGCAGGCAGGACTACGGTAACACGGGAACCTGCGGAATACATCATTCAGCCCTGTGTTGAGCATTATGTCGACACATCTGGAGCAGGTGGAGGTGTTGCGGTGTCTGTGGTGTTTTTCAGAGTAGTAAGCAAGAAAAAACAAGGTTCATATGTTGTCTTTCCCTACAAGTAAATCAAAATTATACATCTCCACCCTATTATAATATGTTGGTTTATACCTATCTAATTTATGGCACGATCATATAAAACTTGACATAATTAAGCGGACACACATTCGCCTGCGGATTGGACAGTTATTAGTTCGAGTCCCAAAACCCAGGTCGACTTCGCCTTAACGGACACCAGGTATAGTAATGGGAAGTAAAGGCGGCAGGTGTGATGTTGACCACATCAACACCTAGGTACCACTTGGTCTATAAAACATAGGCCAACCCGATATGCCCACAAAGCTGACGACTTTTACTCAAATAATGTGTTGCATAATATAATGACATAAACAATGTAATGTATACCCAACTGATGATACCACATGGCACAGGATAATGGTTTCTACTATAAGATCTTTACGCAAGTAGACCGAATGAATATAAGAGTGACAGAGGGAAGAAGGGTTCGCTATTGAATAGTCCTAACGGGGAATAGTAACTTTAAGAACGTCATAATATGTAAGGACTAGTGAATTGTCCAACGGACAAGTATCAAGGTTGATGAAGTCACGGAATATTTATACAATGGTAGAATATAGAATAGTAGGATCTCAATAAAATATTTTAGGATACAGCTAAGGCTTATAGGGGATCTCAGCTACTCCCTACCATTATAAATCTCACCTGAAATCGTATATTTATTTTACGTATTATTATTGTGGGTGTTAGGCCGATGGTATGGCTGGCAATCGTTCTGTGTTGTGACGAAATTAGATCTCCTAGTAACACCACAAAACGTCATAAATTATGTGCGCCTTCGTACCTTATTTATTCTTTTAGCGTCTATGTTTAAATATATTTATTTTACGTGCGCAATTCTTTTAACTAAAACTTGCAATTCAATGCCCAGTGAGTTAAGTTAAGTCAAGAACTTACATCACAAAACTGAACTCAATGCCCAGTGAGTTAAGTTAAGTCAAGAACTTACATCACAACACTCAACTCAATGCCCAGTGAGTTAAGTTAAGTCAAGAACTTACATCACAACACTCAACTCAATGCCCAGTGAGTTAAGTTAAGTCAAGAACTTACATCACAACACTCAACTCAACCCAATGCCCAATGCGCCGAAGGTTTGTAAAGAAACCCTTACTTGTTCTGGAACCTCTACTGGCTACACTGTAATGGGACCTTTACTTGACTTTTATTCTCGACCCTCTACTGGCTACACTGTAAAAGGACCCTTACTTGACTTTTATTCTCGACACTCTACTTGCTACACTGTAATGGGACCTTTACTTGACTTTTATTCTCGACCCTCCACTGGCTACACTGTAATAGGACCCTTACTTGACTTTTATTCTGGACACTCTACTGGCTACACTGTAATAGGACCCTTACTTGACTTTTATTCTCGACCCTCTACTGGCTACACTGTAATAGGACCCTTACTTGACTTTTATTCTGGACACTCTACTGGCTACACTGTAATAGGACCCTTACTTGACTTTTGTTCTCGACACTCTACTGGCTACACTGTAATAGGACCCTTACTTGACTTTTATTCTGGACACTCTACTGGCTACACTGTAAAGGGACCCTTACTTGACTTTTTTTCTCGACCCTCTACTGGCTACACCGATTGTACGTCTATAGGGCTAATCACCGAGGGTCGCTGGGTAAAATGAAAGAAGAAATGCAGATACCAGCTGACGACGTGACCAGCGATAGTGAAGTCTCTGAGGATTACGATGATAACATCGACAATGACAACGATGTAGACTCCATCTACACACTGGCCCACTTCCGACACGAGTTGTACGCCTACGTGGACGAACAGGTGGCCGCTGCTAACCGATCTATGGTTGCATTACAGGCACATTTACAGCAAAAGGTAAGTCTGAATTTTAGACGACAGATACGACAGACAGACAGACCGAAAGGGAAGAGAGGAAGAGAAGACATTCTAGACAGTTGAATGGATGGCTGAGGTAAATTATTACATTACAAGTGAGTTGTTGTAGGATTCCTATGGGAACGAGTGAACAGTGCCGAGACACAAATAGATCTGAAGAGATTTCAGCAGGGGGTGCCCAAGGAAGATAACAAACATTCAACACTCCCCGTAAAGGCGAAAGACACGGACAGGCAGTTAGATTTCAATTGAAACCATCAGAAGATGAACTCTACAATCGCTGCTGAAGATGAGAACGCAGGGTTTATGGACATGTCCCGAGTGCTTTGATGTCGGATCTTGAATCAACTTAACTGAACCAGCGGTTTTAGAAACCAAGGGGTAGAGGTGATTCTGGATGTGCACATTCTCTTTGGTCTTGTTGCAGCTAGTGAGTGGTCAGTCACACATTCAGCACTGTAGTCAATGCGAATTAATGAAGATGTCTTAGATTTGTTCGCATTATGATCACGGAGTCCAACTGTTGCCTGTGGCGGGGTCCTGAATATTTCAGTAATATCCTATGGCGGTATTTAGTTGTGAAGAATGTGATTACAGTGTAAAGGTCATTTCTTGTGCAGATTTCCAACATTCTTTGACAGTTTTCATTAAAATGACCAACTTTATGAATTTTCCAGTCAAACTGGCCATGAGTCTGAGTCTGACCGGAGACGAGCACTAGAATCACCACGAATGTAAATGCCGTCAGGTTTAGGAAGTGCTTTCACTGCCTTGTCCAGTTCCATATTTGGAGACAACAAAATCCTCAGTATCCTCAGCTGACGTTAGTGTGGGTGCATGTGCAACAAGAGTGACAAACCCTCATGGGGTAGACAATCATAAAGATAACATTCTGTCATGTCACCCAGCTGGACTCTCAACTGAGGCCCGCAGATACATTTGTTTTTCCCCACTGCAAAATCTACTTTGTACTGTCTAATTTTTTCAGGTCTTTCCCAAAGAAGGTATAATTTGTTTCTAAAGAACCTGTCCTCTGCAAAGCGTGATTCCTGTACACCAGCAATGTATATATTGAGTTCGGCATCCATTACGCTGTTGTGATCACATCCTGAACTTTTGCCAGGTCAGGGCAACGCAGAGGGCATGTGGTCCTGACATTACATGTTGCTAGCCGTAGCTTTGAGTGGCGTTTCTTGTTATTGTACGGTGCATAGCTTCACAGCCTGAGTTTTGGAAATAGTAACAGCTCCCATTTAAACACACTGTCTATTGTGCATCAACATCGTTTTGTCTGGTGTCTAGCCAGCCTGTGACCGACAACAGCTGATCTGTGACCTTCAAAAATGTCTCCGACCGTCACATTAAACATGTGGGGCTCTCGTCCCCGCTAATTAACGACTCAAAACCTGGTACTGCTGTCGCTCGATTTACTTCCCAGGCCAATTAAGACCATGGATGAACTTCCTCCTCTCCATAGCACAAAACATGTGTTGCATTAAAGATAGCATGTGTTACATGTGCAGAATAATCTCGCCACGAGTGTGCAGGTGATGATTTCATTTTGCCCCAAAAGAAAAATCCCCAGTCGTACCCAGCGTTCTAGTCGTTCGGTCAGCCTCTCGTCGTCTGCCTGCCATAGCATTATGTTTTAGGCTTGTGTTTCTTCTCTCTAGGATAAGGCTTTTTTTCTCACCAATGTGCTTTTCCTGGAGCCGTTGGCGCCTTGAGGAATGTCTAATTTGGTACACGCCGGCCAAAAACTGAGTTAAAATATAACAGATAGAACCGACGACTGACGCATATTAACATACACCTGTCTAAATGTCTAGATTTCACAAGTAAAGAACTAGTTGACACCGGAATGAGTCGCGAATGGACGAAAGCCATATGTATAAGCTCGAGAAATACAGTGAATTAGCGGTCGGTCTGAGGAAAGACGAAGCGTACACAGTAAGAATCTTCGCCGTCGAGGTAGGCGCAAGATGTCTCGTTTCCACTTCAGTTTACAATGTGATTAAACAACTAGGCTGACGAGGTAATGAACGCAAACGGACACTTAAACAACTGGGCGAGGTTGCTGAGAGGGCCTCGAGCTGGCTCTAGACACAGCGGAACGTCGTGGGGGACTCGCCTCGTTGAGCTGGTGCGGGTGTCTAGTGGAAAAGAATTTCTTATCAATTAAAATCCATCGTGTCCGAATTATCTGCCAGTGTCCCTCTGCCACGTGCCAACAGTCCAACATGTGTCCGGTAAACCAATCGTAAGCTTGCCACTTGGTCGTCCAGGTAAGCAGACTGCTTTAATTATGCTACTGCAACGACTTCTTATCTCACAGTACCTTTTGCAAAGTCACCAATTCGTCTTGTCCCTGTCCGATACCATCTGGTAAAAACGTACAGCAGGAGAAACCAACCCTGAGCTTTATGAACTCAGGTGGGCCCACTCTCTGAAAATGTCTAGGAGCTCGTGGGCCGAAACATTTGTCGACGAGAGATTACTTCTACTGATGATCGGTAGACCCCTGCTGTAAATGCTCCCCTGTGGAGTTTCTTCTTATGTTTGTCTGATTGTCTAGATTTCCCAGTTAGAGAACTAGTTGATAGAGAAACACCGCATGGACTAATATATGCCTGCCTGATTGTCCAGATTTCCCAACTAGAGAGCCGGCTGGTGGAGAACATGGCATATATAAGTCTCCTGGAAACAAAGATTCGTGTGTCGGCCACGCCTCTGCCAGGTGACATTCGACTTCTGTCCCGCGACAACTGTGGCAGAGTATCTCGGGCTGGCTACCTGCTCTTTTATACAGGTAATTCAGCCATTTCTCTTTTACTGTAGATTCAGGATCGTTCTTGGAGTCACAGAGTAAAATCTCCAGGATGACTAGCAGTTCACCGAGTGACAACTTTGCTGATTACGTTATTTTGCATGCAATAAGCTTTTAATGTAACAACTTTGTACAAATGCATGCATCTAGTAAGTATCACTTGGTTTATTTAAAGTGTATACACATAAATATGCATTTTTCTTTGTTCCAGTATTTTTACTAAAAGAAGTAGCGAACGTAATGATTATGACAGGAAAACAATTTCAGACCCATAGCTCTTGAATTCATAATGTAAGATATCCCACGCTACAGAAGTTCCGCAAAAATTCTCGGTTACCGACCCGAAAAAGTACCGGGTGCTAAAACATGAATAGGGGACGTTGGCAGCTTTCTGCTGGTCAGATTGAATGAATGTGTAATGGAACTTGTGTAGAAGACCTAGATGAGAGAGAACGGAAACATAAGGCATGCATAACGCCAGAAACTCTTGACAAATGTCCAAGAAAGGGAAGGCAAACGGGCAGACTACAACAGTGGCACAATCAGAGCTCGAAGCTCGAGCTCGTGAAAAATACATAGAAGCTAATCAAGAAAAGAAAAAGAAAGAGAAAAAAGTAGAGAGATTTGAACCAGCGTCATTACACACAGTTATAAACTATAGGTGCTCTGCCACCAGTAGGCACAGCTGATAAGAAACTGTCCGCCTGTGTCGCCGTCCGCACGCAACTCCGTAGCTACAGTGACGTTTCTCCTTTTACACCAGAGTGTTAACTCTGGTACCATTACCTAGAGGCTGTGTGAACCCGGGGAACCGACCGGTTTCGAACACCGGCCGTGGTCTGCAGCGAGTCACAGCTGGATTTGAAAGCGAGTCTTCTATCGACTGCGCAGAAGCTAATACATGGGTTAATGGAAACATACGGACGTATGAAGTATGAATATAGCCTAGCACAGGAAACGGAAACAGCAACAACAAAAGGAAACTTCCAGAGACATTTTTAAAAACACAAGGAAATTGGTGGGTATATAGAGTCAACCAACTGGAACAGTCAAACATGGGCAAAGAAAAGTGCTCTCAAACCATCAAGATAAAAAAATAAGATGGCCAGAATATTTTCAGTAGCTTCTAAATAGACCAGCTTCAGAGTTCGCTGCAGATATCCAGCCCGTAGCTGAGTTGAGCTGAGTCAAGAATTGACATCACAGCACTCGGGGTATTCCCATGCGGGCTCCGTCCTCATCTTTAGCAGCCATCGCAGATTTCCTATACTGATGGCACCGGTCACAATCTGGTTACATGTCCGTCTTGCCTTTCCTCTGAGTTTAGTGAGCCGGCATCAAGCCCTTAGAAGCGGGAACTGTTCGTCAAGTGTAAAAAACCATTAACGGCTCCTGAAAGAAAGAAAGGCTGCAGATCCAGGTGATATCCCAGCAAAAGTTGTTAAGACAAAACACCAGAAGATCGACAGAAAGAATATCTGGTGAAACTAAACACACACCCCCCCCCCCCCCCCCCCCCCCTCCCACCCCAAAGCTACCTGCAGAACAAACTATAAAGGAGTTATGTTTCTGTAAGTTCCTAGGAACAATATTAAGCAGGACGATTGTGTAACGACTAAAAGTTACACTGATAAACAGCTAAGGGATGAAATGACAGGGTTTCTATCAAACATATCCTGTACTTACCAGACAGCCACACTGTCTAATAATAGTGCAAAATATTGAACTGAATTGCCCACCGTCTTACTGGATTCGTAGATTGCGGAAAGGCCGTTGACAGCATTGTTAGGGAATCTCTGTGAAAACTGATGAGAAACGTTTACTAACTTTATAAAGGCAAAATACAAAGACAGGAAATAACGAGTTATTCGTTAGGGAAAACTAACGATGCATATGAAATAAGAACAGTTGTAAGCCTCATGTGTCTTTTGTCACCTCTAAAATAGACTGGAATGTGAAAACAGAAACAGCTACCACCAGAAATGGAATTGTGTAGGCTCCTACAAAACATCTTGATGATCTCGACTTCGCTGATGAAAAGTTTTATTGATAATATTCCAGAAACCTAATAAACGATAAATTCTTGCTGAGAGATTCCAAAAAAGTAGGTCAAAAATCCATATAGAAAAGACAAAAATAAACCAGGAAACGGTGGTCTAATTTCTCTTCATGATATCGCACTCTAGGATGTGCAGTCATACACTTCTGCAAGCAGACATGTAAACACAGATAGGATAACTGACGTATACACTCAGATACCAGCCAAACAGGCAAGTGGAGTTGGTTCTGCAACGTCCTGTAAAGGATACTCAACTAACTTGACTATTATGGGTGTTTTCATTACAAAAATTCACAAACGTAACACGTTTCTATAAAACAAACAATAATACACTACATACAGAAAGAGAAAAAAAGTTGAGGTGGGGGGGGGGGGGGGGGCGCAGGGAAGAGAGAACAGAATTACAATTCTTCAGCTACACGTTTTTTAACGTGCAACTAGATTTCGGCTATCTGAGATAGGACACCCTATCTAAACACTACTAACACTCAGATTGTTAGTACTCTAACTGTTGTATAGACTGTGTCATGTTTCTATAGATACCTTTGTCTTCTTTGTGATAACCAGCTCGACAAGGCTAATGTTTACACACGCAGGTACTCAATGGGGTTTCGTCTGTGACGACTTCTTCAACGCTGCCGCAATCAAAGTTGCCTGCACCCAGCTCGGCTACCCTGGACCCCGAAGTGGCCTCAAGTCCGAACCTAGCACGTCTACCAGAGATCAGGACAGGCAACTGATGAGACGATGGCAAGACAGCTACCAGATTGTCATGGACGACGTCCAGTGCACGGGAGATGAGAGTGCTATTGACTACTGTAGGCATGAGGAACTTGGGAAACATGACTGCTCCATGGATGAAGTAGTGTATTTATCATGTTAATGGAGGACACTTTTCTCATGTCTGTGCACTTCAAAACTATTGTTATTATTCACTTTTTCTAAAGTATTCTTCTGCTACATTAGGCTTTAGAGCGTCTTGTTTTCTGCTAGACTAGGTTTAGAGCGTTTTGTCTTCTGCTAGACTAGGTTTAGAGCGTTTTGTCTTCTGCTACATTAGGCTTTAGAGCGTTTTGTCTTCTACTACATTAGGCTTTAGAGCGTTTTGTCTTCTGCTACACTAGGCTTTAGAGCGTTTTGTCTTCTGTTACACTAGGCTTTAGAGCGTTTTGTCTTTTGCTATATTAGGCTTTAGAGCGTTTTGTCTTCTGCTACACTAGGCTTTAGAGCGTTTTGTCTTCTGTTACACTAAGCTGTAGAATGTCTTGACAAGTAAACTATGCTACACTAGGCTGTAGAGTGTCTTGACAAGTATACTATGCTACACTAGGCTGTAGAGTGTCTTGTCTTCTGCTATGCTAGGCTGTAGAGTGTCTTGACAAGTATACTATGCTACACTAGGCTGTAGAGTGTCTTGTCTTCTGCTACTCTAAGCTGTAGAGTGTCTTGACAAGTAAACTATGCAACACTAGGCTGTAGAGCGTCTTGACAAGTAAACTATGCTACACTAGGCTGTAGAGTGTCTTGACAAGTATACTATGCTACACTAGGTTGTAGAGTGTCTTGACAAGTAAACTATGCTACACTAGACTGTAGAGCGTCTTGACAAGTAAACTATGCTACACTAGGCTGTAGAGCGTCTTGACAAGTATACTATGCTACACTAGGCTGTAGAGTGTCTTGACAAGTATACTATGCTACAATAGGCTGTAGAGTGTCTTGACAAGTAAACTATGCTACACTAGACTGTAGAGTGTCTTGACAAGTAAACTATGCTACACTAGACTGTAGAGCGTCTTGACAAGTAAACTATGCTACACTAGACTGTAGAGTGTCTTGACAAGTATACTATGCTACACTAGGCTGTAGAGTGTCTTGTCTTCTGCTACTCTAAGCTGTAGAGTGTCTTGACAAGTAAACTATGCTACACTAGGCTGTAGAGTGTCTTGACAAGTAAACTATGCTACACTAGGCTGTAGAGTGTCTTGACAAGTAAACTATGCTACACTAAGCTGTAGAGTGTCTTGACAAGTAAACTATGCTACACTAGACTGTAGAGTGTCTTGTCAAGTAAACTATGCTACACTAGACTGTAGAGTGTCTTGACAAGTAAACTATGCTACACTAAGCTGTAGAGTGTCTTGACAAGTAAACTATGCTACACTAAGCTGTAGAGTGTCTTGACAAGTAAACTATGCTACACTAGACTGTAGAGCGTCTTGACAAGTAAACTATGCTACACTAGACTGTAGAGTGTCTTGACAAGTAAACTATGCTACACTAGACTGTAGAGTGTCTTGACAAGTAAACTATGCTACACTAGACTGTAGAGTGTCTTGACAAGTAAACTATGCTACACTAGGCTGTAGAGTGTCTTGACAAGTAAACTATGCTACACTAAGCTGTAGAGTGTCTTTACAAGTAAACTATGCTACACTAGACTGTAGAGCGTCTTGACAAGTAAACTATGCTACACTAGACTGTAGAGTGTCTTGACAAGTAAACTATGCTACACTAGGCTGTAGAGTGTCTTGACAAGTAAACTATGCTACACTAGGCTGTAGAGTGTCTTGACAAGTAAACTATGCTACACTAGGCTGTAGAGTGTCTTGACAAGTAAACTATGCTACACTAGGCTGTAGAGTGTCTTGACAAGTAAACTATGCTACACTAGGCTGTAGAGTGTCTTGACAAGTAAACTATGCTACACTAGGCTGTAGAGTGTCTTGACAAGTAAACTATGCTACACTAAGCTGTAGAGTGTCTTGACAAGTATACTATGCTACACTAGACTGTAGAGTGTCTTGGCAAGTAAACTATGCTACATTAGGCTGTAGAGTGTCTTGTCTTCTGCTACACTAGGTTGTAGAGTGTCTTGACAAGTAAACTATGCTACACTAGGCTGTAGAGTGTCTTGACAAGTAAACTATGCTACACTAGGCTGTAGAGTGTCTTGACAAGTAAACTATGCTACACTAGGCTGTAGAGTGTCTTGACATGTAAACTATGCTACACTAAGCTGTAGAGTGTCTTGACAAGTATACTATGCTACACTAGACTGTAGAGTGTCTTGGCAAGTAAACTATGCTACATTAGGCTGTAGAGCGTCTTGACAAGTAAACAATGCTACACTAGGCTGTAGAGTGTCTTGACAAGTAAACTATGCTACACTAGACTGTAGAGTGTCTTGACAAGTAAACTATGCTACACTAGGTTGTAGAGTGTCTTGATAAGTAAGCTATGCTACACTAGACTGTAGAGTGTCTTGACAAGTAAACTATGCTACACTAGGTTGTAGAGTGTCTTGACAAGTAAACTATGCTACACTAGACTGTAGAGTGTCTTGACAAGTAAACTATGCTACACTAGGCTGTAGAGTGTCTTGACAAGTAAACTATGCTACACTAGACTGTAGAGTGTCTTGACAAGTAAACTATGCTACACTAGGTTGTAGAGTGTCTTGACAAGTAAACTATGCTACACTAGACTGTAGAGTGTCTTGACAAGTAAACTATGCTACACTAGGCTGTAGAGTGTCTTGAGAAGTATACTATTCTACACTCGGTTGTAGAGTGTCTTGACAAGTATACTATGCTACACTAGGCTGTAGAGTGTCTTGACAAGTAAACTATGCTACACTAGGCTGTAGAGTGTCTTGACAAGTAAACTATGCTACACTAGGCTGTAGAGTGTCTTGACAGGGAAACTATGCTACACTAGGCTGTCGAGTGTCTTGTCTTCTGCTACACTAGGCTGTCGAGTGTCTTGTCTTCTGCTACACTAAGCTGTAGAGTGTCTTGTCTTCTGCTACACTAAGCTGTAGAGTGTCTTGTCTTCTGCTACACTAAGCTGTAGAGTGTCTTGTCTTCTGCTACACTAAGCTGTAGAGTGTCTTGACAAGTATACTATGCTACACTAGGCTGTGGAGTGTCTTGTCTTCTGCTACACTAAGCTGTAGAGTGTCTTGTCTTCTGCTACACTAAGCTGTAGAGTGTCTTGACAAGTATACTATGCTACACTAGGCTGTAGAGTGTCTTGACAAGTAAACTTTGCTACACTAGGCTGTAGAGTGTCTTGACAAGTAAACTATGCTACACTAGGCTGTAGAGTGTCTTGTCTTCTGCTACACTAAGCTGTAGAGTGTTTTGTCTTCAGCTACACTAAGCTGTAGTGTGTCTTGTTTTCTGCTACACTAAGCTGTAGAGTGTCTTGACAAGTATACTATGCTACACTAGGCTGTAGAGTGTTTTGACAAGTAAACTTTGCTACACTAGGCTGTAGAATGTCTTGACAAGTAAACTATGCTACACTAGGCTGTAGAGTGTCTTGACAAGTAAACTATGCTACACTAGGCTGTAGAGTGTCTTGACAAGTAAACTATGCTACACTAGGCAGTAGAGTGTCTTGACAAGTATACTATGCTACACTAGGCTGTAGAGCGTCATGTCTTCTGCTACACTAAGCTGTAGAGTGTCTTGACAATTATACTATGCTACACTAGGCTGTAGAGTGTCTTGACAAGTAAACTATGCCACACTAAGCTGTAGAGTGTCTTGACAAGTATACTATGCTACACTAGGCTGTAGAGTGTCTTAACAAGTAAACTATGCCACACTAAGCTGTAGAGTGTCTTGACAAGTATACTATGCTACACTAGGCTGTAGAGCGTCTTGTCTTCTGCTACACTAGGCTGTAGAGTGTTTTGACAAGTATACTATGCTACACTAGGCTGTAGAGTGTCTTGACAAGTATACTATGCTACACTAGGCTGTAGAGTGTCTTGACAAGTAAACTATGCTACACTAGGCTGTAGAGTGTCTTGACAAGTAAACTATGCTACACTAGGCTGTAGAGTGTCTTGACAAGTAAACTATGCTACACTAGGCTGTAGAGTGTCTTGACAAGTAAACTATGCTATACTAGACTGTAGAGTGTCTTGACAAGTAAACTATGCTACACTAGGCTGTAGAGCGTCTTGACAAGTAAACTATGCTACACTAGGCTGTAGAGTGTCTTGACAAGTAAACTATGCTACACTAGGCTGTAGAGTGTCTTGAAAAGTAAACTATGCTACACTAGGCTGTAGAGTGTCTTGACAAGTATACTATGCTACACTAAGCTGTAGAGTGTCTTGACAAGTATACTATGCTACACTAGGCTGTAGTGTGTCTTGACAAGTATACTATGCTACACTAAGCTGTAGAGTGTCTTGACAAGTATACAATGCTACACTAGGCTGTAGTGTGTCTTGACAAGTAAACTATGCTACACATAGCCACACTCAAAGATACACACACATCTACACATTCCCACACTCAAACACACACACACCTACACATTCCCACACTCAAACATACACACACACACACCTACACATAGCCACGCTTATACATACACACACACCTACACATTGCCACACTTATACATACACAGACAACTACACATTGCCACACTCAAACACACACGCACACATTCTTACACTCAAACATTCACACACACCTACACATTCCCACACTCAAACATTCCTAACAAAAGAACAGACCCAGCCTTTCTAACAAGCAGATCCTAAGAGTTGACGGTTCTATCCAAATATCTGCCCCCAAACAGACAGTCGATTTTTTTAGGATGCTGATAAATAGGCTGCGCTCTCGTGGGTTGGGGTTAGGCCCAGTTTTTGCTGTTTTGAGGTAGCTACAGGAAGCCGGGAAACCTGTTCTTACCACCCTTGAAAATATTGGACTGTCCCGTGACGTCATCCTGGGGGGAGATATCGAGAAAACACCGAGATGACTAACTGGGAGCTCCCTTCGGAGTCGAAGTGCATCTTCAGTGTACCCATGGAGGTGGCTAATTCGAACTTTTGTTGTCACAATACTGTTTGCG